TGCCCAGGCGGGTCTCGAACCCGCAGGCTCAGGCAATCCACTCACCTCAGCCTTTCAAAGGCATGGGATTACAGGCTGAGCCACCGAGCCCGGCTCCAAACTCAGAATCTTAAACCACAGACCCACCCTCTCAACCTTAGCCCTGCCTACCCAGACCCCCAAATTTAGGTCCCCAACTTCAGACCCCAAATCTCATATCCCCACTTTAGTCCTCAACCTTGGCCAAATCTCAGACTGCTACTTCCCACCCCAAAGCTCAGACCTCCAGTTGCAAACCCCCAAATCCAGCTCTCAGCCTCCCACAGGGGAGGAGCAGAGTGCTCGACTCGACTCTGTCTTGGCTCCTGGTCTTCCCAGGGCTACCGCCTCACAGGGACACCTTTCTTGCTCCTCTCCAGGCTTTGTGACAGGAGGCCATGTTCTCCGCCTCTTCCACGGACACATGGATGAATGTCTGACTATTTCCCCTGCAGACAGTGATGACCAGCGCAGGTCCGGGCCGGGGACAAGAGACCTGGGGTCTAGGAGTGGAGATGGGGGACTGGGACCCTAGGAGTGGGGTGAGGGATCAGATTCCGGGGGGACTGAACCCTACCCTCCCTCTCCCGTGTCTCCAGACTTGTCTACTACGAGGGAGGAGCTGTGTGCACCCATGCCCGCTCCCTGTGGAGGCTGGAGCCACTGAGAATCAGGTAGTGCGGGGGAGGTCGGGGCAGGGTGTCCTTGGGGACCTGGGAGGGGAGGAGGGGTCATGCAGGAAGATCTGAGGAAGAGACTGAAGGTCTTGAGGGAAAATCTGGGTAGCCCAAGAGCAAAATGAAGTCCTCAGGGATCCCAGAGTTCTGGAGACAAGGAGCTCTTGGGGGAGGGCAGGGGAATCCTGAGAGAGGATCAGGGGCCCTGAGTAAACCAGTGGGTTTAAGAATCTGTAAAATAGGCGGGCTCGGTGGCTCAGCCTGTAATCCCGCACCTTGGGAGGCTGAGGTGAGTGGATTGCCTGAGCTGCGGGTTTGAGACCCACCTGGGCAACTTGGCGAGACCTCATCTCTACAATAAGTCAAAAAAAATTAGCCGGGCGTGGTAGCACGCGCCTGTAGTTCCAGCTACTTGGAAGGCTGAGGCGGAAGGATCGCCAGAGCCCAGCAGGTTGAGGCTGGGGTGGCTGGGAGCGTGCCACTGCACTCCAGTCTGGGTGACAGAGTGAGACTCCAACTTAAAAAAAAAAAATTGCCAGGCTTGGTGGCTCAGCCTGTAATCCCGCGCCTTGGGAGGCTGAGGTAAGTGGATTGCCTGAGCCTGCGGGTTTGAGACCCGC